TTTCTGTTTAATATTTTATGCTCTGCCCGCAGCTCTTTGCTTCTGCCTGCTGATTCGCCCCTTTTCCCACATGTTCCACCCCTCTGTTGGCCACGATGTCCAGGACCGCTTCATCTGCTTAATGTCAGTTATTTTCATTACCCCCCTCGGTCGGGACATCGACATCTTCATCGCGCGTTGTCAGGGTGGTCGAGTCGTCTTTTTATTATTATTTTGCCAGGATGGTTGTGCATATCGGCCTGTGTTTTTGGTAGGTAAATACTTCGACCATAAACCGTATTAAGGTATTCATAAATTGCCTGCTGCTTAACCCCGGCAAATATTGGACATCCAATTTGGTAATTCAGGGTCTGAAAATTAAGCAGCCGATGAAAGGCGAATGGCGAAGGGCAAAAGGCCTATTGGAAAATTCGTTAACGGATCGGATGACATAAAAATGTCTCGCGAGGAAGTAAGCTGCAATGTTTATGAGCAGAGCAGCAAGCCAAGATCCGCAAATTGGGCCCTGAATTTGGTGGGGGATTGCTTAGGGGAGGCTTTTGGAGAGACACACGCATCATTATGGAGCCCAAGTGTCGCGCACGAGATGCTCATCAAATACCAGCCAAACGGTGTAAACTGCCTCATTGAAACAGACAGCTCCGAAAACCCACTCACCTGCCATAGAAACTTCCACTCTTTTCCGGGGAAAAACAGGATAACAGTGATGGGCCAAAACTGTGATTGAGCCCAACAGGAATTAGTTTATAATTGCTGGAGCAGAACTCGCATTTCGCCCTTGTGGTTAATTGGTGCCCTTGTGTGCTCAGGGATCCAATCCAACTACCATTAAGCTCCGGCTTAGTTAGGGGGGTTCCCCTGCCACTGGAGCGAAGGAATCGAAGTACAGGGAGTTATAATCTCACAAGCTCACAAGCGCTTTTCTTACACGCTGGGGATAACTGTGGAGAGTGAAACCGGGGGCTAAGGAAAACTAATCGGAAATGAGGGTTTTGTAAACCGAAGTTGGGGCTCTAAAATATAAATGGCTTCTGAAAAATGTAAAAAAAAGTCTTTACTTCGTTAGTTGTTTAAGTAATTTTTCAAACAAAATAGTAAGCAACGTAAAAGAATAAGGTCAAATTAATGCACACAAATTAAATGCTTTTAAAAACTACATTTATCATGGCACAAAATAAAATAACAAATTCGTCTTTGCTTGCATGTCAGCAAATAACAAATATATCAATTAATTAAAACATTCTCTTCAATGGTCCTTAATTATATTCGATACATAAATTTAAAACAAATTTCATTTTAAAATGAACACATATTCAATGAAAAATGAAAGAATATTTAATTTTCTTTCAAAACTAATGCAATCTGTATAAATAAATCATTAACAGTCGCATGTCCTACAAAATATTGCTTCTTCATTTCGCATACTTCATTTCGCATACTATCAGGTCGGTAGATACCAGTGATTGAATCACTGTCTGCGACTGTTTACGCATCACCAGAGTGGTGACGTTCCCCGAGCACTGGGTGCGTACCCGGGCAAGGGATCTGGAATCGGGAGTCCGGGGTGGGAGTCGGACTCGGATCCGGAGAAGGAGAAGGCGACTGAGGCAGTTGGCCTCGGCAACCGCGAAACCAGCAGACAAGGCAGACATCTGAAACACTGAAAACAAAGATGTATATTTTGTGTAACTTAATGAAAAAGGGGAAATATAAAACGAAGATTTAGGATAAATTTAAAGATATATTTATAAATTATTAAATGTGAGGGTGTTACATGATTTGTATAACTGCAGAACTACATGAGTTCCTTTTTTCGCGTAGCAGAGTTAGAGGCTTTTCCTGCAGTGCATCTGTGGCGTACGATGACGACGACGACAACGCAATTGGTTTTTTGGAAGACAACACAGAAAGCGAACCACGATTGGGTGGAGTTGGGGGAAAGTGGAGAAAGCTTACTGGGACGGGGGCTTACACGAGGCTGCCAAAGACGTGCGAGGCTGAGATTTGTTTCATCCGCGCACTTCCTGCGCTTTGCTAACTTTTTGCTCTCCCTGCTAATGTCCTGTCTTTGTAGGGGTGTGAGTCCTTAGTCCTTCTGCGGGCAAGTGTGTGTGTGTGTGCGTGTTTTACAACCACAACCTGTGGGGTGGGCGGAAAAAAAAGGGGGAGGCACACGCAAAAAAAGGAAAGAATAAAAGGAGCAGAGGCCGGGCGAAATCGTTGCCTTTTTTATGTGACCATTTCCATTGCGACTGCGACTGCGTTCGTGTTCATTAACGTTGCTATTACATTTTAACACACCGAATCGGAATGTGTCCTGGCAACGTCCTTGCCACGCCCCCTGCCTCCGCCTCTCGTTAGCTTTTACTTTCAGTTGTTTGGCTTGCTGTTGCTTCTGTTGTGAGAATGTTGAAATATCCTGTTTAACTTTATTTCATTTTTCCACAGCATCCTACACGTGGCCACCCACCCATTTACCACCCACATCCGGTGGGTGTGCGTGTGTGTGCTTTAGTTGGCGTGCATAAATTTTTACGTTTGTTGTTGTCTTATCAGATCATTTATTTGCGCAGGGCAAGGCCTCTTCACCCCTCCATTTCCCCATTTTCCTCCCCTCTGCACTCGCATTACTCGTGTTATTTGCATGTTGTAGAAAAATATCAATTTGCGTACCTCCGACGTCGATGGTAGACGGTCGGTCGTTTAACATTTTCCGCTCTTTACAGGCCCTTTGTCCTTTTTCCTTTGCGCCCGCCTTAATTTGCCGGAGACACGGGCCCCCAACACACAGAAAAGTTAGAGATATGCGAGTGTATCTCAAATGGTGTGCAAATGTTTTCCTTTTTCCCCAAGTTCCATTTTTGGTCATTTGAATATGAATTTATATCAATGTGTCTGGGCCACGCTGCGTATACGCAATTCATATAATTCGTGACGCTATTTGCATAACTATATATTGTCCAGAGCTCAGCAGCCGAATGGCTCGCGTGATAATGTAAATTTCTCGTCCACTTCGTTTCTATTTGGCCCGGAATTTATCACTTTACTGCTTGGCCCGACTTAGCCATTAGCAGCAGTAGAAGAGGAGCAGGCAGATGAAGTCGAAGCAAATAAGGTGAAATGCAGCTCGGACTTATGCCCACGAGTCACGTAACTTCCTGTCGGCGCCAAAGTCGCCTTGGTTACTGGTTAGTGGATCCTGGATCCTGGCTCTAAGCTGACTTCAAGTTATGAGCCACCAAGTGAGGCAAGACACTTCGCAGCGGATTCATAAATTTAATGCTTAGCAGCAGTTCACCACCCCCTTCAAGCCACCTACTGACCACCCAGTCCGCCAATAACTTTCCTGATAATATCTGGGAGTCACCCGGCAGCACTCGCTCTTTATGCCCATCCATTGCTTTCTCTTTCGATTCTGCACCGCTAGAAAATATCGAAATTTGGGTCAGCGATCAAGTCACATTTCACATGACTAGTGAAAGTTAGTGAAAATATGAAAATGTTGTATAATTTTTTAAACTTTTTAAATACAATTTCATAGGTAAATATTATTTGTATCGAAATCTAAAGACGACTTCAAAAATCAACCAATTTGAAATGTGTGAACTAAAATAATTTTTTTTGTATAGATTTGAGGAACCACAACGAATTCTTAAGTTTTTTACTGTGTGGGTGTCGTTAGCACATTTCATGTTGCATACTTTTATGTGTTACAGATTTTCGGCGCGAACGCGGTTCTAATGAGCAGAAGCAGAAGCAGCAGTAGCAGCAACTATAACCACATCATCAACTTTTCCCCCAACTATGTGTCGTATACGTAATATGTGTGAATAGCAAAACAGGGCGAATAACAAGTGCAGTGGGTGGGGTAAGGGGGCGGGGGAAAGGAAAAGTTGTGGCAGTGGCCAAGCACTCACCCACATTTGCGCACACAATTTTTTATGGTTGGTTAACTAAATTTACTTTACTGCCGCCCAAACACCCGGGAAATAGAGAGAAAGGCAACGAGGCCCAAGCAAAGCGGGATAGACTGAGGCAATATGCATAGCTCCAATATTGAAAACTGATCAACCTGATTGAATTGCCAGCCACTGAAATAGAAACTAATGAATCGCCCGAGACTTGGGAAACCCAAACGTATGTAAAATAAAACCAATTCCTTGGGTAAGTCTTGTCGTCAATTTCAACTTCCAGAGGTCTTGTATCCGCAGCATTGATTGGGCGGGTATTGGATGCGATTACGAATACATAAATTCATTAATAATGCTCTGGCACATTACGCTTTTGGTCCCAGTCGAGCTTTAAAGTGCGTTATATCCCAGTACTCACTGCTGTCAGACATCCTGCCAAAGAAAGCCGGGCTCAGCGGAGTACAGTAAGTACTTCTGACAGCCTCAAAGGACTGAGGAATCGAATCATTGAGCCGAACTGTTGAACAGAGATGTCACTTTGTCCTGTATCAGGTCAGAAATAGTATTTTTAAGTGGTTTTGATTTAAAAAAACTTTTTGATTTATCTCTTTGCATAAGCAAACATATAAAAAATGTAAGTAAAAGTGACCGAAAACCTGCACATCTGCCTTACTTCTAAATGATTGTGGTTTAACTTCGTTTGTATTTTTGGGTCGATTTTTCATCATTTTTATAGTGTTACCCCTTTCCAAATTTTCGAAAAATGACTTTGCAGAAAATGGCCCAAAACATTCACTTTTAAGCCCATAACTTTTTTTAAAGACATTAAATGTCAAAGTGGCATACTTCTAAATGATTGTGGTTTAATTCTCTAAAAATCTGTGTTTTCAATTATTTTTTGTATTTTGGGGTCGATTTTTCGTAATTTATAAAGTGTAACAGGGTTTTGTAATCAAGTCTAAGGGATATCATGACCCTTCCCGCAGACCGGTTTTTAAAGCAATTTAAAATCAAACTTAAAACACATTTGTCAAATAGCTCATATTGGTATATTAATAATTTAATTTCTTGTTTGTCTTTTTCTTGCAGTTTTTTTGGGCACTTCCTTTGAGTCATCACTGCCGTTAAGCACTGTAAGTAAGCCATGATTTTACTGTAGAACATACTTATTTATTTATTTGCGAATGATTGTGTGTGTGCAGCATCCCCATAAGCTGCCAAGTATTTACTGAGGATATTTAGCAAACATTTACTGTCGCCAAATATTGCGAAGGCGAAGTGGGAAAGACAGACGAAGTGACACGGAGATGGCATTGGGTTCTCTTTGGCGATGCTCGCCTATCTCCCCTTATCGATATTTGCGAAATAATAAAAAAAGTGGCAGGCCACAAACAACCGAAGTACGGAGGAGCGATAAAGGAACAGGCTCAGTTGTCATGCTGGTTCCCCCGTATTTATGTATATATGGGGGATGCCCGTTCCCATTCGCCCACGAGCTCAACAGCTCAATCTGCTACGATTTTGAATGGAACTGGTACCCAGTGGGTCCCAGATGGGACGCAGTCATGAAAAATTACACAGCGCATTTTGTTCGCCTGTCGCCTCGGCTCTTGAGATATTCCAATTTTTGAAGTGTCAAAAATATCCGCTTATATATAGAAATACATACGGAAATTTAATGGTACATACACATGAATGTGTAAGCAGATAATGTCAGTATTTGGCCTCCGTTTCTTTCTTGGAGTCGGCCAAAACAAGACAAGAAAGAAAGAAATTGATAATTCCTTGGCGCAAAACTCTGTGGCCAAAGAGAAAAAAGGGGAGAAGCAAGAAGCGAGAAGAAAGTTCAAATCAACATATTGATTTTTGTGCGAAAAGGGGCGTGTCGCCGCCCACGACCGCAACTACCCACGAGATACGAGAACACAAAGCCGATTCTGACGTGTGTATCTTGTATCTTTTGCTGCTTTTTCTGCTTTTACTCGTTTTTCTGGAGTTGTAAATGTTTGCCAACTGGTGGACAGTGCATTTGCTTGTTCACAACTTTTATTTATTTATGGTTTGATATTTATTTATTTCCCTCCGCATTTATTTTGCAAAAGATTTTGTCTAGATACGAATGCTTTCCTGCCTGCTTTTAATGGGTTTTGCGTACAATTTCAACTGACCGGCTGAAGTTCTTTTTTTAGCTTTATTAAATTTACTGCACAACAATCAGTTCCAGTTCAAGATTTTGCTTAAATTTCAGGAACTGGCTATTGCTAACTATTTTTATTTATTTTTTTTTGGACTTTTATCTATTTCTAGGTTTTTTTTTCTTTGGCAGGAATTTATTTGATATCTTGCAGTTGCTCTTAATTTGTTTTGTGTAGAATTTCAATTTGGTTCGCTGGCTTCTGTCCTTTATTAGGTTTATTAAGTTCGGTTAGACCTTTGCCAATAAACCTGAACTGGTTCAAACAAATATCAATTCTCAAGTTTTCGTTGGTTTTCTCTACATTTTATTTATTTTCATCAACTTTTGTTTGGCAAAGCTTGAACGAGTTTTTTTTTTTTTAAAGGAGTTGTTTATTATTATTTGCTTGGCCAAATTTGTTTATATAGCTTTCATTTATGAGCTTTAAAAATTAATTAATAATTAATAAGTTGATATAATAAGTGAACGGCATTATACTATATTCATATATGAACATTCATTAGTTCTCTTAATTTCTTTAAGATCCAAACTTACTGGTTGCCTTGGCTTTATTAAATTTGTTTAAGTCTTTCCATATTCGCCCGACCTGACCTACATCAAAATCGGTCCCCATTTCATGCCCCGCAAAATGTTGCAAATTTGTTAACCCTTTCGGGCTTGCTGCCTTTGATTTGCTCCGTTCAACTTTTGCCAACTGTATAAAGTTTCAATTTGTTTGTCCCTTTTCCAGTTTCAGTTTTCTGTTTTGCTTTGGTTTGCTTTCCGTTTCTGTTTTGGCGCATCCCTGCACATGCCACATTTTTTCCTCCCCCCGAAATGGCAATTTAACAATGAAAAATTAAAAGAAAATTCAAAGTTTTTCTTTCTCTGCAAAAGAGGCTTATATCCCGTATCGCTTCGGATCGGGTCTACCTAAGTAATTACAGTTGAATGGTGGCTACAAACAAAGGGGAAAGGGAGGGAACTGGGAATGAGGAAAAATAAATGGTGTGTGCAAAGGAGATAGAAACGTTTGGTGTTTTTCCGTTTTTATGCTTGAAAAAGGGTTCTCATGCAAATATTTAACAGCGAGCCCCATTTGTCATTGGAATTCTCGCTCCTTTTTTTCGGAAATTCCTGTCAAGCTTTTCGCTGTATTTTTTTTGGTTGGAGTGTACTGTGTCGAACACTGTGATGTTTAATTAATTATAGAGCTCTTAAATATTACATGGCAAATTGCTGGATAGTTTGATTTGCAGGATAATTCAATTTATGGACGGAATTTAGAAACGTTTTGCATAACAATGCGCATTTGCATGCCCCAATAAGTAGGCAACATAAATAATTTTTCACTTTGCCCACTTACACATGTGCAGGCCCAGTGAAAGCTCTCTTAAAATATCATTAGCATACACACAGACGCACATCTGAGACCTGACCTCCGACCTCCAGCCCCTAAAAAACCCCCCCGCTTGACAAGATTTAAAGCATTTTTCATGTTGCCTTTTGCCACTTTGCTTTCGCTTATGTCAACTGGGTATGGCTAACAAATACATACATAAATCCACCCGAGGACTTCCCTCAGTAGTAACATGGAAATTTGCTCGTTTTCCTTTTGGTTTTCCCGCACCACCCACAATCCACCGTCAGCCGCCCACCGTTTTAACCGTTGCACGCATCTTTTATGTGTGTTTGGTTGCTGCAGCAAAATTTACCAAAAAGTTATGAAACTCATTAAAACACGAAACTAATTCAAACACCCCGGGCCTAATTGCCAACTCCAGCCTAAGCCGAAAGCAAATGGAGAGTCCTTCGAGGAGGAAGGAGGTGGTCCTTCGCCTCGGTCTGCTGCCTGAACGATTCGCTGGCGAATCCAAAAATTATTTAGCGTTAATTTCCATAGAAAAATGTGCGCGTCAACAGAAATTAAGTGTCCCAGCTAATTTAACACAGCGCTGGGTCAGCGCTCTCGCTTCCTCGCTTGTCTCTTTCCTTTTCCCTCTTTCTTTACGCCCCACACAGAAAGAAAAAATTACTTAAAGTAAACTGTTCTGTAGGCAATTAGAAGAATTATTTTACAATTAATATTTAAATCATGTTCATAAATATGTATAAGCATATATTTTCAATTCGATTCTTTTGTTGTTTACTTTCTTACTCTTTCTAGGGCATAGTTGATTTTAAAGTTCTCCAAATACATCAATCAAGGGCTAAATAACAACTTTCTCTCAGTGTGTTTGCCTGCTTTTTGCTCCTGCAGCGCACCGCAGCTGGTGGGCCACAGATGCCTGCGACGCGTTAGAATACTTACAATTTTAATTTGAATAATTTTGCAGGCTCTAAACGTAAATTACCCTCGCATTATTTTTTCGCCGTTGCCCTGGCTTATTATTTTTTTCCCCATTACTTTTCGCCCGCTGACACTCCATCGCCCAGTCTCTCTGACTTGGCGCTATATAGCTATAGCTTATTTTTTGTGCATAAGCATTTTGAAAGATTAAACTTGGCGCACTTGAATGTTATTACACGTACCACGAGCCAGCGCGCCAACACTTTCATTTATTATTATTTTTTACGCCCCAGCTCGAACCCGAACCAGAAACCTAAAAAAGAGTCCTAACCCCGGCCCAATTGTCGCCCCCATCCATTCCCCATTCTCCGTCAGCCAGCCATACAGAAAAATCACACATCGTTAGCTCAGCAGTTTTTCCCTTTTGGTGTTTCCTTTTTTTGTGCTTTTCATTTTTTCCTCGCTCCTCCAGCATGCGTCCGTGCCCTTGTCCCAGTGGCTAGGAAAACTCGCAGCTCGGAAACTTGGGTCCCATAACGCGGCATTTATTTTGCGCTCCTCCTGTAGAATTGTGCTTCCATAAAAATTGCTTTGCTTGCTCCTCAGTTCAGTCACTCAGTTCGACCCTGGAAGTCCTTGCTTTCAGCCAGAAGATGCTGCATAGGATGAGTCCTGTCCTGTCTGTCTCTCGTCCCGTTTGAGTTCTGTGGAAACATTCGAGGGAGCAGCTCTATATATTCGTATAGACACACAATCTGGATATCTGGAAAAACGTCAAGCCTCACTACATGCCCTTTTAGAATGTTCCCAATTGATAATAAAATCGATCTAATTGGGCATTAGTTTCATTCAATACCAAATAAAAAAACTTTTCAAACTCTAATTTGGTGATTAAAAATTTAAGCTGAGGCATTTCAATGGGTTTAGATACATTTCAAAAAATGTAATTACTGGATTTAGATAATTAAAATTCATATTATAATTGAGCCTTTTTCGTATTTTGATATACGTTTTGATCAATTCATAATATTATCATATATGTATATAACAATATATTTTGTCCATTAACATCCCAAAGGATCAGGGATTAGCCCTGCTTTTGGGACCAGTAATACTCTTGTCCCGTTCAGGGTATGAAGTGTAAGGAAGAGAACATTCAAACATGTGAAAATACGCATACGCCACGTAGACAGCGGCAGCTTTATGCTCATAGGTTTTAATCTGTGTGTGTGTGAGTATGCCACTGTGCGTGCGTTTGTGAGCTCAAAGTTTCTTTATTTAATTCAGTGAACTGTAAAATGTGCTGAAATGTTAGATTATTGCTTTTCACCCAGCCGGCGACTAGTGCTCTTGGCCAGCCACGAGAATACTCCTCGTTTTTCCTATTTTCCCCCTCCTTTCCGCAATCTTCCTTTTCCACTTTGTGCCCATCCGCTCTTTGTGTGTTATTGTTGGCGTCGCGGCTGTTTCCCTCTCCATTTGGCTGCTGTTTCACCAGCTCCTGCTGCCCCCAACAAGTTCTAACTGCACTCCTTTTCACGAAGATAATGCGTTGATAACCCCGCCAAAGGAAAATCCCCAGAAAAAGGCAGCCAAAGGGAACAAAATTGGGCAATTTGCTTACACACAAAGTAAGAAAACGCGCAGAAAAGAACAGAAAAAAGCAG